TTAAAATTGGCCAAGAACTTACGAAGATATGATATTAATCATTGTTTTTGGTAAGGTTTTGGTCAGCTATTCGATATAATACCCTACACCCCTCTGCTGATAACCATTCAAGTAAGGCCTGACTTATCAGCTAGACAGAGAAACGTGGTACGAAATGAATAGAAAAGCGTTCAAGAAGTGGTACGGTGTTTTGAGGCGATAGGTCTAAGCCTAGGTATTTTTACACAGTTTTGAAGAAGATGGAATTGTTTAATTAAGGAAAGTGTTCGTTCTGATTGACACTTTTTACCAGCAAGCAATGGGTCAAAACAGCAATGAACCAAATAATAATAATAATAATAATAATAATAATAATAATAATAATAATAATAATAATAATAATAATAATAATAATATTGGGCGAAACACAATATAAAAGCAGTAGACATTTAAATAATTTAAAATTTAAAATAGTGACAAAATGATTATATAATGACATTAATTAAAAATAATAGTAATGAAACAGTACAGTAGTAGTAATAATAACAATAAGAAATAGGCCTTATAACAATATCACAAAATACAAATTAAATAATAAAAATAAACACAATAATATCAGTGAACGTTCAAATAAATAAAACTTTAAATTACAGACAATAAAAAAATATACCCGATATATATTATGTCATAAAAGTTTATTGCCGTTTTGAACTGAGACCCTCCTTAAAGTACTGATCGACTTTGAGGGCTGCAGAGTGATGATCATTTGGTACATTGATGAAGAATGTCGATGAATTTCTTGAAAAGAAATTTCCAGGGTGTGTTTTGAATAGAATTTGGGAACATTTGAACTATTTGAAATGCTAGAGCGTTTAGAGGTATTCTAACCAATGATGAGACTTTCCGCAGGTTTGTGCTTTGAACGAATGCCCGTGTTATGTATTATAGTAGCGGCCTAGCAGCAATACCTGGATAAGGTGATCCGTGGGTATAAATAATATTATAAATAGTACTAGGCCTAGGTAATAGGCTTAGCCTAGTTAGCTCTAGTAGTAGTAGGTCTAGGCATAGGAGGATAGGAAAAGGAGGATAGGCCTTTTCGTATACATTTTGAAGTGATGACAAACATTGCGAATCAGCGGTGCGTAACCAACAGAATTAAGATAAGCTTTTGGGCTGATTTTCTGACATCATGTTATTTAAAATATTATAACTCCATAACGGGGCGTCGTATCCAAAATATTTTTCCAGCAAAATGTTCTTAAAAGACTAGTCTACACCACTATATGATTTAAAAAAATATTGAAAAATGTTTGTGACCTTAGAAATCAAGATGGAATACTGTGAAGCCTATTGTGGTTAACAATAAAACAAGATCGACTACAAACATGTCTATTAGTATAGGCCTATATTATTATGTTTTTTTGTAGCATTGTAAATAAAATTTTTGAAACCCATTCTTATAAGTCACCAAATCATACATTTCTACCAACCTTTAATACTAAAACTAAAAATCAGTACACCCTTTTATGTACTGAAGTATCTATTAGTATTTACATGAATTGCATACTCGCAGCATTTTACTTTCTATTAGAAACTGCTAAATAATTTAAGTTCCGGCTGTAAATTAAAAGCGCATTGAGGTCTTTACATTATGCGCTATAATCTAGGCCTATATGAATTCACAATTATTATTATTATTATTAAATACTAATAATAGAAACTAACGATACCAGTTAACATGAACACTTGAATTTACCATTTAATCATATAATTCTGCAGTTCAAAGGTTTATCGTATTTTGACCTCAGAAAATGAAATCTGGTGCAGTAATCTTTAGCTGGTCTCGTGCTTAGATCTACTAGTTGTTAATCGACAACAACTTACATCCGCACTCTCATAGGCCTATAACATTCATCATGAAGACTGTCTTAGCCTTGTTTCTTGTGTTGACTGTAGTTACTGTAAGGTCTCAAGTACCTAAGCCATGTGGTAAGTAATTAATATTGTTATTGTTTCTTAGGTATTTTATTAGTAATTGCATGTTTGTTTTGTGAGTGGGCGTAACGCTCAGACAGGCCTATCGCTTGAATGCGTATCTCGATTAAAGAACTCTGTACTGAAAGAATATAAGAGGGCACCTGTTGAGGAAGTATTCAATCCTATAATACCGATATACACTACATTATTATAGTTTCCTATCAAAACAGACAGGAGGCACATGTTAATTGCGCCGTCTGCGCAAACCAAATACAGACTGCGTTATTCAGGTCCCCCTTAATTAGGATGGGAGGGAGAAGTGAGCGGTTCTGCTATGTCTCGGCCGAACTCCTTTTTCGATCGAAACCCCACCCACCACTACTCATATAAACCAAACCACCAAAAACTATCAAAATCAGGCCTATAGTGTGATTCACCATTAGGCCTCCTTGATCGTTCCCTGACCTCGCAACAGTTCTTCCCCTGCATAGTGCGGCGTAACAGTTATGGGCTCTCACTGAGTAAACATAGGCGTCGGAAGCATTTTCAGGGTCCCCACAAGTCTCCCGGAACTCGTGGAAGTCTCCGGGTTGAATCGGTACGGCCTCCCGCACTCCCGCACTGCAAGCAAGAATCTCCCGGAAATTAACCCATCTCCTGAAATTCATAATTTTGCATGTTTCCATCGCTTTATTATTAATTTTCTCACGAATTGAGTGCCGATGGGTATCACTATTTGCAGCAAAATAAAATTGAATGTGCTAAAAAAGCTCATTAATCAGGTCAGCGGCGGATTCAAGGGGGAAGTTGGCTCGGGTCCCTAAATATTTCAAAATTATGAAAAATGGGGTGGAAATGAAAATGTGTAGTATATATTTACTTCATACCTTACATTTGTTACAATACAATGCATGAAACTGTAATTAATGTATGGAAGGAAGGGATAGATGGGGGTATAATTGAATTAAGTCAATCTTAGTTTAATGCAAATTGTATTGTTTTATTTGGAATATTAATTGTATTATCAATTTATTAGTATCATTTACAATCATCTCACTACAATGCACTGGAACTTCATTCAATGTATAAGAGAAGGGTGGAATAAATGGAAGCATTACTGAATCAAGTCAGAATTGTATACAGTACCTTGTTTCACTGCATTTTTAAATTTTTATTTGTATATTTTTTTTTATTTTGGCCCATTACGAGTGGGTCAAATTTGGAAAAAGGGTTAGTTGATTGAGTAGGGTGGGATATATTTGTGTATGTGTACACACATGTATTATTGTATTGTTTTATTGTATTATTTAATTTTATGTTCATTACCTAATTTCTCAATTTTATTTTAGTTATTTTAAAGTTTGTATTAGTTACGTTTTATTAGTAAGTGTAGGCCTACAATAATTAAGTGACTCATTGTATTATATTTAAATTGAGCGCACCACCCTAAATGCGTACCGTATGTTCACAAAGTGATTTAGTGACAATGTATAGGCCTAGTAATATTTTAATGGAAAGACAAGTTGATGTCTGGCTCCCATGAAATGTTTAAGAATAAATAACAGCATGTAGTTACTGTACATCCATTTTAGAACATTTAATGTATTATTTTCCCCTCTAATAGAAAAAAGACCGTGCACATTTAGTGCCCATCATTCCCAAGTCTCCTGCTGTGTCTCGGAATGGAGTCTCCTGGAAATTTGCAGGAAAGACCCGGCGAGCAAGCAGGAATCTCCCGCAAATTCATGATGATATTTGCATGCTTTTACAAGTTTTTACTACTGTATTATCAATTGTCTCCCAGCAGTTAGTGCCAATCATAATGGTTATCACTATGTACAGCAAATTTACTAGTTATCTTAAGAAAACTCATTTAAACAGATTTCCCGGATGTGGATTCTTCTAAACTGTGATTATATGATAATTAATCGATAATAGGCCTGAAAAAAGTCACTGATGATAATTATTTTTTGTTTCTCTTCGTACCTTTAGTTGCCCCATCGGCGATGGAAGCCAGAATAGTTGAGGTGAGTGGTGGTGGTTTGTCTCCTCAAGCCGTATACCGTAAACCCTCGGATTGAAGCCCTGGGCTGCTTCTTCTTCTTCGTTTTTTTTTATTTTTTAAATTTTTTTTTTTGGCGAACTTTGGATAGGCTTCTTTCCGAGATGGGCTACTTTTCGAGATAGGCTTCTTTTCGAGACTACGTTTTCAAAGTAAAGAGGGGAGCTTCTTTTCAAAATTAATGCTGTAAATCTTGTGAACTTGGACAATCAAACAATAAATAAGGTCAATGTATCAATCTGTATTGTGGAGTGTATTTAACCGGCATTAAATCACCTAAACTAATATATAAACCAAGCTTGTTTTTTGAAAAGAAGCTCATGGGCTTCTTTTGCTAATTTTGGAAACTGAAGAGAGTGGCTTCAATTCGAGATGGGCTTCATCTCGAGATTAAGCCCACTGGGCTTCATTTAGAGGTTTTACAGTATTTCAATGTGGATGGTATGTGAAAGATGAGGACGATGTTTTTGACCGATAGAGTTGATTGAATTTGATGATGAAAAAGTAGAAGTAGGAGTCCTAAAAAAAGGACTCTTATACAAAATATAGGCTATAATATTACCAAATAAGATCCATTACATTCGAAACTTCAGTAACCTCTATCTCATTCATCGATACTTTCCATTTCATGCATTGATGTCATATCATAGTTTCCATGGTTATATTACATTCATACTTTCAGATCGATCCATCTCGTGGTTTTGAAGTTCGCGCCAAAATGTCATACGATTTCTACAATCGTCGAGTCCGTATAGTTGATGAAGTAGTACATTCCGACTCTAGGAAAGAATTCATGGACGTGCTCTTCCTGCATGACGTGGTACGTGCAACGTGTGTCGTCACAGACATAGCGAATTAGACGCACGAGTTGAACGTCACCGATGCGTATGCGTAATTAAATTTCCCGTGGTGTCAAATCGCCACATTAGTGAAACAGGCAAACGACGAAGTTCAACAGTGTGTTGATTCTGCAGGTGTCTCTGACTACAACAATAGGCCTAATCATCAATTATTCTGTATTAATTTTCTAGAGAAACATGGAACGTGAATATGAAGTTCGCGCTAAGATGTCTTACGATGCCCGGAATCTAAGAAAGCGTTACGTAGACGAAGTGTTCATCAATGGCGATAAGCGTGACTATTATGACGTACTATATTTGCATAATGTTGTGAGTGCAATTCTAACATCTCTTTTTCATTACAGAATATTGGAATCATTTTCATGCGCAGTTAATAACGTCAATGTTGACGTTGTTCCGGAGTATGAGAGTTGATAGTGCATTTTTTTAAAATCAAGTCCTAAATGTTACCGTTTATCCGTTTATGAAATAGTGACGATCTTATAATAGAAACGTTCACAACATAGCAATACTGAATATTGAATAGGCCTACTGAAATAATTGATTGTCCAACATATAAGAAGAAAGTGCATTCAAACACTGGCAAAAGCATTTAAAATCACAGTAGGCCTATTGAATATTAAAATCAACAATAGGCCTATGTAAAATCTACAATATTACACTTTTAATGATTGTGTACCGTATGTTCATTCTGTTTTGTTAAAATGTTTTTTTCACATTATTTATTTAATACCTTACCAACTTTACCTTATCTGCTTTATTTTGCTTATTTGAATTTTCAGTATTTTTGTAAACCTTATGTAAATATCAGCTAATTTTATTCTTGTAATGTAAAAAAAAAAGAAAATCAATGCCTCATTGATATGCTCTATTTAGTCCTATTAATTTTTATTATTGTTACATGTGACTGATTACGGAAACGAACTGTCGTTTTTATGTGACCTACTAAATATTAGGCTAGAGGTTGATGTTTTTCGCACCTTTGATTTTTGTGCATTATTTTCTTTGATGCTCCTAAAATACCAAATGAATTTCCAACATCTTTAGGGAAAGGAGTATCGATACAACCTTAAAACAAAGACCTGCGAGGTACGAGCAATCAGCCAAAACCGATTTTATCCAATCGGTATTCCAAACAACGCAACATTCTACGGCGAAGCCAACATTGGTACAAAAGGCTTTCCCGGTGAAGGCGTTTTAGTCCAAGAATGGGGTGGCGCAACCGAACGTGGTGAGAATATAAATGAATCATCGTAAATTTAAAGGAAAACATCCTTGGCAACAATACACTTCTTCATTTTTCGTATCTCTGTTTAATTTGTTTTTTTGTTAGTTCAGCTTCTATTTCATGGATATCACTCAGTAGGCCTATGTGAAATTCAGTGGCGGATTCTAGGAGATGGCAAAAGGGGGAGCTTTTCCCCTCCCGACAGCAGCCCAAAGTGACCAAGTAGCCTGTGAAATAGTTTGAGATAAACACAAACTTTCGGATCTTTCAGGGTAATTATCTCCCTGTTCCCCGCAATAGCCCTAACCATCTTCGACCATGCCCTCGATTGACAGTTTGCAACCATGATCCCCAGCAAAAACGTTCAGGATCCGCCCTTGAATACATAAAGCATGTTAGCATTCCATTGATTGAACTTTCAGATAAATCAAAATAATCAAGGCCACCAGAATATCGAGCTTCGTCCTACTCATTTAGGTTGTTTCATTTCTTTTTTCAGCATACATCTGAAAACTATCATTTAATATTAACATTCAAGTGGCTCTTTCGAGGCGAGCTCATTAAGAACACGCACTTAGCCAACGACGCACACGTCACCAACGCTACACACTTTAGGTTCTAAATGCAATTTGGTAACGAATTTCTATACTGTAGAAGAATGGGGCATACAGCTCCGCAATTTGGTATGAAGTCACTCTCGAGAGAAACACTGAATCCGCAATGACATCTCATTTTAGTCATTTCATTCACATCACAGGGCAAAGAATACCGATTGAACTTCCAAACTAAAGTTTGCGAAGTGCTCCCAATCTCACGTGAATTCAGACCGATTGGTATCCCACTTAATGGGACATTTTACGGCGAGGCTACCATTGGCAGCAAGGCGGAACACGGCGAGGGTGTCAACGTACAGGCATGGGGAGGCGATGCAGAGTTTGGTAGGTGAACCTCTACATGGGTAACTGTCATTACCATTGAACCATTGACGCATTATCATTTATGTATCCATGATCAGCAAACTAACCAACAGTAGTTGTCAAGTATTTTGGGTTTGAATTTTGGTATCATATCATAATTTTATTTAACTCAAATAAGAGTAACACAGGGAACTTCATGGTTCCTGTACAAGTAACTGTCAGAATAACAAAACAATTCAATAATAGCACAAAATCAGTAGTAATATTAATAGGCAAACGTTATACTTAAATTAATACTGTAATTATCAACAGTAAAAATAAATAAATAAAAGAATTAATTAATTTGGAGTAGGGTCACGTGACAGGGCAGTTACAATGATGGTAACCCGCTACCGCAGCGGTAAGTGTAGCGGGGCTACACTATAGTTTTAACTATGGAGTTTAATGAGATGAAATCCTTCAATATTCCATGATTTTCTGAAAACTCAACAACTTGTTTTAATTCCATCACATAATAGACCTTTCCGGAGTGTCGATTTATCAAAATTTAACAATGGCCAATCAGAACAGCACTAGGAATACGCGCGCGTCTCACAAAAACACGTGATTGCGTATATTTTAACACTGTCAGTGATCGTCCCGTCAAAGAGTATACTTTTTGGTCCCGTAGGACTAAGTAGCAACAATATCGAAGTGGCCGGGCTTAGTTAGATTGGAAGTTGTGTAGCGTGTACTTCATATACACTTGTAAACAATTTTATTATTTTCTTAAGGCCGCTACATTGGCGTATGGACCTTGACTGGATGCTTGCCGGTAAGAGAAGGTTACTATAGCAACCAAACTGGTTTTATCAATACCGAGTAAGTAATTCGGAGTTATTTTGGTTTATTGCCGTTTTATATTGCCATTCTGACAACCTGTTTTTGTCATAGTTTCTTTTTTGCTGGAGACACGATATATTCAATGGGGAAAATCGTTCCAACAGGGGATTTAAATTGCCGACGGAACAGGGGAGCAATGCACTTCACACCCAGTGAAAAGACCATTCTAGGGTTTATGACGCACTCTGCATGCACCCGGCTAATTTTTAAAGTTGTTCTGCTAGGATATACAAGTTAAGATGCTCTTTAAATTATGGATTAATCATTTTTTATCGACGAGTCTCATTGCCGACCCGGGGGGGGGGGGGGGGAATGATGGGGAGGGGGGTTATGTCCCCTGATGCCTGCACTGGCGCTGCGTGACTACCTACAATATCTATCATGAAGCAAATTCGTTGTTTTACATAATAGCATACATTAATTTATCATAATATTGCTGCATTTCAGTCGAGGTGGAATAAATATTTATGCAAGTTGTGATGCAAATGAAAAATAAACAGATTTAACATCAAGGATAGCGTCTATTCATCCTGTCTCCATGAAATAGAATAACCTATTGTATTTGCTCGTCTGCCCTCATGTATTTATCTAATGATTACGTACAACTAATTGATCTGTCCATACATTGGGTTAATTTTGATGCGCCGACAATGACACAAAAATCTATATTTGTAGTGTTTACATTGAATGCATAATTAATTTCGTCAAATTACTATATCATGTCTGAATGGACATTCAAAACGTAATCGATATTATATGATCATTGGCAGTGCCTCTGAAATAAATATCATTATTGAAATATAAAATTGATAAAATATTAAGATTACTTTTAATCTTTTTATAATTCAATAACATTTCATTGTTTCATATTCATTTTTTTTTGTAACTGTGGATGCACCATCAATTTGATATATGCCGCTGACGCTAAAGCGATTACAAATAAAACCTGAATTTACACTAATTGTATTTTCCATATATATTTGCAGGTTCTTCGACATTACACTTGGAATTAGCGACCCTAATGTGTTTATTCCACCACAAGAATGCATAAATTAGAAACGTCTTTACTATAGAAAGCGCTCTCATAGCTGGACGATGATCGATTACGCATAATAAAGATACTGAATCTGCCACTATAAAAATTATGAAAACAAGCTAAAAAATTAAAATGAAAAATTTAATTGCTTATTTTACAGGAACCACGTCAGTTATAAACTTTCAAAAATTCTGAGATTAGATTTTTTTAAAACAATTTTCAATTATTAACTGACGTGCAGCTACGATATTATTTAAATCTGCTGCTAGAAGGTGAAAGAGTAAATGCAAATGTTATTAGAATAATAATATATTTGTTAATTTTATATGAGAAACTGCTTTTTAAACATATTAAAAACTGTAATCTTAAAATTCTTAATAAATGTTGAAAAAATTGAGCAAATGTTCAAGGTATTTGTAATCATATTCTTGAATATAAAACATAGTGCAGTACTACAAACTAGATTGAATTTGAATTTGTGTAAGTTTTCTTTAAATAGATACCGGTCTTGTAGTACCATGGAGGAATTTCCTCCATGGTAGTACATTGGCGGGACATTGGTCTAAAGCCTGGTTTCATTAAAATTCCTACAATGTCGCTACAGTGTTTTCAGCGCAACCGTTATACTGCGTAGCAGTCCCTGACGTATGTAACCGACCAATCAGCATCACCGAAAGCTGTCGGCGATAGCAGCGATTGTATGACGCCAAGCTTCAGCTTCACCGCAAACTGTCAGTGATAGCGTGTAGCGATTGTATGGAAACCACGCTTAAGTATCACCGAAAGCTGTCGTCGATAGTAGCGTGTAGGGATTGTACGGAAACCAAGCTTAACCATAATTATTTTATCAGAGTTTATTGACAATGTACTTTTAATTGTATAAAATATATTTTGATTTGAAAACCTCTATATTTTTCAGTTTTATGACATTGAGTCTCATAAACATTCGAACACACACATTCGAGTCACTATGGTTACACAATAATATGTCTTTAAAATTCATAACCATCCATCGGCCCCCCTCCCCCTCACATTTCATTTCATGGTCTCTCTCTCTGCAACCCTCTGTCATACACAATGCAATTGACAATGTATTAAGTATCACAATTATTTATTTGAAACTATCACAACCATATACAGAAAACAAGCTATTGTTTTACTACAAATCCCCTGAATTATGAATAATAAAGCCATTTCACTTCTAGCCAATTGTCTTTGACCCTGTAGCAATTGACAATGTTTAAATATCGCAACAATTTACAGAAAATAAGCTATTGTTTGACCACAAATCTTCTTAATAATGAATAATTAATTAATAAAACTTTTTACAGATTATCGGCGTTGGGCCATAAAAAACCAAGGGTTTTATAGCCAAAGATGGTAGATGGGTCACAAACATAGGGTTGTGGCGGGCCGCAATAAAATTGATGTTGGGCCGCATGTGGCCCAGGGGCCGCACCTTTCCCCACCTGTGCTTTAGGCCTACAGTTCTGTATTTAAAGAACTTGTAAGAATGTCTCCATGATTGATTCGCAGTACCAACTGCTATGCTATTCATAAAAAAACAGTCATCACACCAAAGTGGCATTTGTTTAGCTGCAGTGACATTACGATATTGAAACTAGTTATACATTTAGAAGAAGCATTTCGCAGGAAAATATACCTGGTAAAGCCTTTTTTCCAGAATTTGTTATAGTTAGAACACTAATCCTAATATATATAAACAGTAAACTGATAAAAACTGTAGAAATGTTGTTATTGCAAACAATTTTAAATTAATATTAAATATCTAGTTAAATTGCTTCACTGTATTTTAATTATATCTGAAATGCTTCACCTATTCATCATCAAATTCATACCGTTGCCAATGCTTATCAAAAAGTGGTTTACACGAAATATTGGCACCAAGTTTTGTGCATAGTAAGAATGCGCCGGCCATTTTACGGTGAAGGGAATAGGATTCTTCGGGTGGTGGCGTCAGACGATGGTGCAGCATTCGAGACATTAGGGAATGGATACGCATGGTTGTGTCTTGTGTTGCAAAGTTAAACGGTTGATCTGATTGGAAAGCCTCACCAAGAATCATCACAGCTTCAACGTGTGCCTCTTCCATCACCTGCAGTATAAAAAATATAAGGATTATTTTCACATGAATGTTACGCAACCAACAAAAGCAAAATCAATCACAGTAAATTAACTAAAAAAAAATTTCTCCTTTGCGGTAATTAGGTTGAAAATAAGGTTGTTCCTACAGTCGCGCACGCCGCACAAAATACGGAAAGTAAAGTATACAATTATTAGGTGAAAAAAGTGTATTATACCTTTGACTCATATCCAGTTAGAAATCCAAGTCTTTGTGAGTACTCAAGTACCGCTTGCCTATCACCGGTCCTTGCACCATGAATTATCTGAAACGAACAAAAATCTAATGGTAAGCATGTTTTCAAACAATCAGTTTGATGTCAATTTAGAAAACGATATTATTAAAATGTTGTTACCCCAGTGGCAAATCGATTTAGGTAGGGGCCATGAAGAAGAAATGTGGACTCAATCATTATGGGGGGGGGGGGGTGAATGCTATCTCACAAAATAAGGTGATAGGAGGTAACTTTTATCTACTTGAGCCTGATTTTTTTTGGCTTTGGACATTTTCTATGGGGGCACAATTTTTTTAAAGAGGGGTGTGGCATGTGCCCCCCCCCCACACCAGGGGTTTAACCAGAAAAACGAAATAGGCCATCAAAAATGGAAGCCAATGGGCGTGGCACTGAGTCGATGGGTGGGCCACGCCCATCTCTGATTATACCCACCAAATTTTAGTACGAAAACAACGTACATTCAATCAATAAATGTTGTTTTTATCAAACATAAATATGATTTAGCTTTAGTTTAATGTAACATTTGATAGATTTGAAGAATATAAAGAATTTGCTTAAGGTAGACCAGGCCCAATTAGGCTAGGCCGAGCTGATTAGGACAAGTCGTCCAAGCCGTCACGGTAAAAGTGGCCGTCCTAAATAATTGTAGGCCGTCCAAAAGACAGACGGACGGCTCGCTGGCTAAGCCTATGCCCCACAAAACCTCTAGATACGCTACTGATGCTATTGGCAGTCTGACTAGATTGTCATTGACAATCATCCTCAATGACCAAGATATTGTCATTTTGTCTCAACCAACCGACACTAACAGAATTTCTTATTCTACTCACCCTAATGTACTTGTCCACAAATGATTTGTCAAACACTCTTGTAGCCCCAAAATCAAGAAGCCAAATCTAAAATAAAAATAACAGTGAAATAATAATAGGAAAATAGAAATGCTCCTTTTACACTGTGCAATAAAAGCATAGCCTCCCCACGGTGTGATTTTTCTCTGAGAATTGATAAGCAGAAATTTGAAAACAATTAGACTTACTAAACTTTAGTTATCGTAGTAACAAACAATTTACTACGACGACAACATGAAAAAATATTACAATTTCAACAAAATAAGAATTTTATCATTGAAAATAATTAGGTATGAGCATTAGTGCATTACAGTCACAACAGTAAAATAAGCAGACTTTTAATAAATGTCCAGATCACATATTCTTGTAAAATAGAATGTTGTTATCTGTTTTTCCACACAATATTTTAACCCCTGGCTATAGACCTACCTTCTTGCTATCAGCGTTATAAAAAAAGTTTGACCAATTTGGATCGGTCTGCATCACAAACCATTCAAATATTTCCGTCAGGCAAAGTCTTAAAATATTCAGGCTAATCTGGGTGAAGACAAAATGTAAAAAACATATAAAGCTATTATATTTGTAACATACCTATATATGGTCATGATGACATGACATCATGAGCATATATAGGCACATCATGACTATATATGGGCACATCATGACTATATATCGGCACATCATGACTATATATGGGCACATCATGACCATATATAGACACATCATGACCATATATGGGCACATCATGACTATATATGGGCACATCATGACCATATATAGACACATAATGACTATATATGGGCACATCATGACCATATATAGGCACATCATGACTATATTTGGGCACATCATGACTATAGATGGGCACATCATGACCATATATAGGCACATCATGACTATATATGGAGCTTATTGTCAAAGAAAATTTGATAGTGTGGACAGAGCTTTAGTTCCATACTTTGTTTTCATACATTTTGAGGTAATAAATTATATTATCATACAATTTGTCCAATATTTTTTATATAAATTTAGGATAAGCCCCTAAATATCCTCATGCATATTGCAAATATAAACATCCTCAAGTCTGCTTCACTATAAATGGCTATGATGCTGAATAATAATGAATGAAATGAATTGTGCGACAAAAAAAACCAAAAAAAAAAAACCTTGGGAACTGCTAATATATTCCTGATAACCTTTAACTAAAAATATTTTTAAACTGACCATATTTCTTGTTTCCTGGTCCAAATCTATTGCTTTGTCCAATGGAATCCCATCAATGAGTTCTGTGGTGAGTACCTCTTTGGAAGACAATTCATGTACTACTGCAGGTACTGTGAAGATGACATCACTTTTCAGTAAGTTCCTAATAATGTTAATAAAAATGATGAATACAGAAGTTAGCAAAACAACCTTTTTACAGTGTCAATCAAACTTAGCAACCAACCAATCAGAACAGTGTCAGGACCTTAGCAACAATATCCAAGGGGCGGTGCTTAGGGAAAAGGTCAATTGTACACAGCATTGCATGCTGGGTAATACAGGTCTGCAACAAGTAATTGTGGTAGTTTAATGAAATGAAATATCCTAAAAAAATACGCTTGTCGGAGCAAAAAACGGTCTACTTTGTTTCTCCAGCCACGGAAAGGGTATTGTCGTGTCCTTTTGTATGTTTTTAGAATTAGGGAATATAAATGAAATGTAAAAAGTTATACATACTTTATGATCCCCGATTAATTACATACCTAACTGATAATATTTGATAAGGTAGATTCAGTTGGATGCATTATAGTACGAGATTTACAGTACTATACTTTAATTGTAAAAATGTATTCAAAACCCAACAAATAAATATAAATAATTAATAGCTTCCCCAACCCTAATTAAAAATTACATAAGCAATAATAACACTTTATAAATTATATAGTTTATATATAGTGCCCTCAAGTTTCTTCCTTGTTTTTACCTGAATAATTCTGAGTATTTGGCTTCCCTTATGTAATCTATTTCCCAGCTTAATTCACGCCTTGCTACATCCATTGCATTCTCGATATACATACCTATAAATGAATGATAATGAAATCGACTATTAATGATGAAATAAATACAGGTCACCCTCTAATTAAAGACCAGAATAAATTAAAGATCATCTCAAATTAAAGATCACATGCCCTCCAATTAAAGACCAATTTTTTGTGGTCCCAAATGAACAAATGTCTTTTATGTTTATTATTCCAATTAGAGACCAAAGCTGCTAAAGACCATAGAAACCACAGTCCTAAAAGTGGTCTTTAATTGGAGGGTGATCTGTAGCTTGTAAAACCATATATACGTTCACTGATTGATTCTGATCATTGATTCTGAAACCTTACCTTCTGGAAGCACATTCCATATGTTAAGAATAGCAGTAAGGTTTTCTATATCGCTATCAATTCCTTTTGCAACACCGGGGTACTGCAAAATAATGAACAGGTTAAAAAGGTGTCAAACTATGGTCAAACAATTTATAGTCTGAGTAACATAATGAATCCAAAGTACTGGTAACTGTTTCTTCTGTATCTGTAAAATTTAATGCATTTTAATATACATTGTATAAAGTAATGGAGATATGAATTGATGGCTAAAAAAGTACTTTAGTATAATGAGTAAAATACTCTTGCAAAATCTTAAATTTTCGAAAAACTCTAAATAAATTTATCTTCTCTCCTTTAATCTCCATTAAGTAGCATATCTTAAAGCCCTGTCCAGGCTATCACATTTTATTTGACAAAAACATGTGACATGCCTAAATATGGTCATGATGACATCACATCATAACCATATATAGGCACATCATTACTATATATGGGCATACAACAGTTTTTTGTCAAACAAAATTTGATAATCTGGACACAGAGCTGTGGGCAGGTAACATATCTTTAGGTAGCATTTTTCAAATTTGACAATTGTGTTGGGTGATTACCTGGATTTTCATTGCAACCTCCTTCCCATCATGCAGTGTTGCAAGATGAACCTGTCCAATAGAAGCTGCAGCAAAAGGCTTCTCTTCAAATGAAGCAACCTTTGACCGCCAATCATCTCCTAATTCCTTCTTAAGTACACCCTACAATTAGGAAAAAATGGGGGAAAGATTACACAAATGTTTTCCTTCATTTATGTCTCTTTTACAAGTCTTCCTTTTATGTAGGTGTTGTTGTAAATATTATGTATCTTGTGAGTATTTTATTAGTTAAGTTATGCATCGCTTTGTCAGGTGCTACCTATTCAAAGGCTTATCCTTGATCAATGACAGTAAACTATAATTAACTTACTGTCATTTGTCTAACTGGCATGAAGTCTGCACTTTGCCTCACCCTCTCAAATACATTCTGCAGCTCTGGACTGATCAAACTATTATCTGAAATAACAAACATGTTAATATCAAATATGTCAATCTGCATTTCACTTTTAATGCAATTTATGTTAATTGAGCAGACAATATTTTCAATACTGCCAGATACGCTGCATTATTGACCATCACATCATAATTATTGCAGTGATTGTACCCCATTGCTACATAATTATTTATGGTCACCATGTGATTATTTCCTGTAGTTATGAGCCACATTTTTTAATTATTTATTTCAACACTAATTTGTAAGTGTGGTCTATCCAGTCAGAGCTGAACAATTTGGCCTTAATTTTCACCTGTGAATCCTATTTCCTTTGACAAAGCAACATCTACAAAAGATAAAAAAATAAAAACAAAGATTTGTAATAAAACATTGCCTTACCTTGGATACTCAGCATCTGACCTAGTTTTAATGCAGCTCCCCGTACTTTACAAAGTGTACTGACGACTCGATCAGCATTTGCTGTGGTCAGTAATGCACTTCTTCCATTATTGTCACCTACACAGAACAAAAGTACTCATTAAATATTAATCAAACAATTTTTCTTGAAGAAGCATTTAAATTTCAGATAGTTTTTAATGCATTATTTTTGCCTCCATGAAGCTTGAATTTAAATGATAGACCAGGGAGGGACCAATTTTAATTGGTTGAAAAGCTTACTGTCATTAGTTAGCCCAAGACCTCTCCTTGCCAGTTCTGCTATTGTCCCAATTCCCAGTCCGGCTGCAAGTTCTGAAAATATAAAACCCAAAACTTTATTATAAAATAAACCTATTTCTGTACCTGTTTTATCGTATGCATTAATCATAACCTTCATGAATTATGCATAACTTTTATGCATTATGCATAACTCTTCTGATAGACAAATCTTAATATTGTTTTATAATTTGCTGTTAATTGAAAATGTAAACCAAGTTGAGAACAGCTTACCTGGTTCAATTCCAATTTTGATCAGCTAAGAAGCTTTGCAAGCTAATAGAGTACACCATCTTTCACAAGTAAAAGGTGCAGCTTATATGTATGTTAGTGTACAATTCACTTATCAGAAGAATTTGAGATGTTTCCCAGTGCACTAAATAAGCTAATAACAATTTACATAACACATTGTAAAGTGTTTCTATGTTCTCCACTGCCTTTGCAAGCAAAACTCACGTAAACACAAATGAAACTATGGGGCTTACCTCCAAAACTCAGCACTCTGCCAAGCCTAGTGGAAGGAACTGTCCTCTCTTTGGCTCTGTCACTTAACTGTTTGAAAGAGAACAATCAAATAATTTAAATACTAATTATCATCGTAATTCTGAATTTCTGAAATAATTATTACCAATAGTAAATACAACATAAAATCTTACCACTTGTTTATTCCTAGTCTTCCTTGGTGGTTGACCTTTTGTGAATTTCTTAATGTCTTCAGCAGCGAACCCTGTAGTACAATGGCGGACGCGATTTCTATGAGCCACGAAAATGAACTTGGTGTTAAAAGCTGACCATGTATGATAGCTGCGTTTTGGAGGAAATCCATTACTACCTGGTGTTGTTTGTGTAGTTTGCGTGTGCACATCATTTTCACCTGTTTTTTGCGTGCGTACCTCCGCACGACGTGATGTTTGTGTGTGGTTTTCGTTTGAAGTTTTTGGCCGGATATTCTCATCGATTCCTACTCCAACTGGTTCCCAATCATCAGCATTCATGATATCAAAATCTTGACTTGTAAAATCCATCTATAGGGGAAATGTACAAAGTTAACTTTTAACAATCAGCATAAAGCCGGGCGCTCAGAGCTCAAAGTCGTCCAACACGATTCTATGTAGAATGCAAAAACACAACAAGTTATTATTAAAGAACTTCATTGGATAGAATATTAGGTTAGTATAACTTATAAGGGTTTTTTTTTAATGATAAACTGACATTTTATAATCCTTTATTGACAGGATAACACTTATTGATTTTTTTTGTATGTTTATGCAATGAATATAGAACATTTTAATGTTAATAATTAAAATTATTTAAATGAATCAGTTAAATGAATCAGTTAATAGGAAAATATTTCATCCACCAAATTCCCCATGTATAATAATTAACTAAAGACTGTGGTAATTATATAAATATTTATTTTGTGAACCTTAACTGTTTGACATATTTACCTGGTAAAATTCTTCTTTTGGAATATATTCCATGCAGTCTTCAAATTTAGACTGGACAGTAGATACGACTGGCTTGAGACTGGAATTGTTTAACCGTCTCTCTACTTCCTTTCCTCCCATTTCAAAAAATGCTTTTGCAACCAGGCCAAACCCTTTGGTTATCTTGCCAATATCAGCTAAGCGACTTTGAGCCATCTTTAAATCCTTTTTCTAGGCCTAGAATGATAATATATGAAATACAAATAAAAACATGTTGGATTTGGATTGGATTTATTCAGTGTAAACACCAAGGATAACCCACAAAAGACATATTTCCAGTGGGGTCCTTCTGGTGGTGATCGGGGAGTACACAGGGAGACAATCCCCTCATCTTTTCCGAAGAGTGTACTGCGCCCTTTAACATGCACATGGGCCATAATGTACACAGGACCAATGGCTTAAACGTTTCATCCGAAAGACGGTGCACTAGTATTGTAACTTGCATTCTTGTTTAAGAAATTAAGAACAATGAAATGCTGATGAATTTTCACTTCAGAGTATACACACAATATTTCCAAATGAAATTTCAAACAAATAAATTGAAAAAATAGATTAAGAAACAAGAACATTAAAACAAATTAGACAATGAATAAATTTATTGAAATGTGAACAAAGCAAAAATTACTGAATGTTCAGTGTTTTTGCTGGCCAAATTGATGTTATAAAAATTATGAAATTAACTGTAAAGGCTTAGTTGAATTGGGGATGAATACAAAAGGGGCTGAATTGATTTGGGGGTCTTGCCTTTTACTGTAAAATCCATGAGTTTGATGAGTAGTTGCCTGGTTTGGAAGTTGTTTTGTGAGATCAGTTTGTTTTAAGTCAGCATTGTAAATCAGTGCTTTTTCTCTTCTGTCTTTTTTTGTAGTGTTTCCCATTTAACTTTTGAAGCATGTCTGTGACGATGTTTTGCATTCAATTTTCATTTGTTAATTTTACCTCAACATAACATACAAATACAAAAAACATATACATAGCATGGTAAGGAAGGGGCATTTTAAGCAAATTTTTTGACTGTTACGTCAGCTGCCCCTCATATATATAAGGCCACGGGAATGAAAGTTGTAGATTTGCTTCTGAAAAATATTGAAAACATTTTTTTCATTAATTATTCATTATTTGTATAAATGCTGTACACAAACCGCAGCATCAGCAATTTTAATTTTTACATTATTCTAAAGAAACACAATGCATACAATCATTCATAAATAATGTACACTGTAAGACACATCTTTTATTTAAGTGGATCATATGCAATGTCAGAAAAAGGTATTTATAATTTGGCACTTTAATAATAATAATATACTATATTAATATTTCATTTACCAACAAAAGTAAATAATCATTTTTAACAAAATTTGGCAGCCCTTCTTTGGAATAACTTTCACGCAATTGGCCCTAGCTAGCTAAAAAGGAACAGGACTAGGATTCAGAAGGCATCGCCTTCATATACCTATAGGCCTTATTATGTTGGCTAGTTTGGTGGGCCTAGTCTAGGCCTAGGTAGGGCCCTAGGTAGCCTACCTAGGCTTGATTGAGTTGATACTCCCAAAACCAAAAGGCCGAACTTGTCCATCCAAGCAAGCATGCCTATTCCAGTTAGGCCTAGCCTAGTGAACGGTCACTTACAGTGTAGTTAATGTACGTATTTATACTTCACTCACATGTGTACCTAGCTAGGCATAGGCCTTAAACTTGAAAAAAACAAACTTCGCCTATTCAATCAGACCTCCTGATTCATTCCAGGCCGCGCTTCCAGGCCAGCATGCTAGATATAGATCCTTGATCCTAGACCAGAACTTACGTAAACAAGGAATCAACTAAACCTACATTAGGGGTAAATACGTTTATGACTTCGTTCTATATATAAATCTATATACTAAATAAACTAGTGAGGCATTAAAAACACATACTTTAAACTTTTATTTATCTAAAATGTATCCATTATAAATATTTAATAGAATATTTAAATAATATTTAACAATTTAAAATATTACTACCCACATTAAAATTAATTATTCTTTGTTGCTATTAGTCTTTAAAGCCCGTCGCCAATAAGGTATCTGTAACGTGCCTTAGGAAATCGTTACCTTTCAAAATAGAAACAACGTCTGCATCACGTTTAATTTAAAAGGACAAAATTTGCATATCCTTTCGCGGCAACATTCGCGCCGAAGTTTGCATGTGACAATTTCATTCGTAATAGTCGCTCTCTTTCTTGTTTACGGACGTATTGCACGAAATTTGCAGAAAATGTCTGGTTTTGATGATCAGCAAATATTCTATTCAGATAATTTTGGTTCTGAGGAACAGCAAGCTGATGGAAAAATCAATAAATTGGGAGTGCAACGAAGGTTTAAAGACTTTATACGAAAATACCATGATGCTAATTTCCTGTACAAATACAGGTTGGTGTATTGTTGTCTGTGTTGTGAACTTGTAGGCATAGGCCTAGGCCTAGGTGTAGTTGCCTGCTGTAGTGAAGTGCACTTTCTTGAGCCTAGGCTAGTAGTATTCTTTCTTTAGGCCTAGGCCTAGTTAGGCAAAAATTATATTTATTGTTGCAACATATAAAATTAAATTATATAGGCCTAGGCCTATTTCAATATCATAGGCCTAGGGAGGCCTAGGCCTAGGCCTATGCCTACGTAGAAGAAGTCAAGCAAATTTTCACTTATTGATTTAGGCCTAGGCCTTGCTTAGACCTAAGTTGATTTTTTTAAATTATTGTTTCATCAGTTTTTCTGTGATCACATTAAATTTGTTTACTTAATAATTATAATACACATACATACATGGATATTTGTAGGGATGAGCTGAAAAGAAATTATAACCTGAGACAGTATTGGCTTGAGATAAACATTGATGACTTGAGAAGCTATGATGAAGACCTAGCTGAAAAATTGATGAAACAACCAACTGAATATCTGCCGTTGGTAAGGAAGACTTGTTTTTTTTGTCAAACAATAGATGCTGTATATTATTTTGTTGATTATTTTTTTCCTTTTATGTGAAGGGACAGTATTATTAATGATAGATACATTTTAACGCTAGGCCTAGGCCAGTCCAAAGGATGAGGGGAATTTAAACATGGAGAACATAAGACAGCAACATGGCATTGTGCATTACACCAGACAAATTTTTAAGGGTGAAAAAATTGTTTATTGTTTTGCTCACTCCACTCTAAATGTTAATTTTCATGGCCAGGCCTTCAACACCTGGACAGCAACAACAAATTACATACATTATCAAGTAATATCCGATTATTAAATACTGTATGCAAAAAAAAAAATAAAAATGTAAAGGCCTTCTGATAGAGACATTTCAAGCTTCGTGTGCCTTTCTAATTTAATTAATGTAAATTTTACAAATTGTGATACCTTATTTTGTAATGGTGTACATTACTATGGTGATAATATTTGGCCATTTCCTCCTACTGTACAGCTAGAAGCAGGTGCAAAGGAGATTGCAGATGAGGTGACCCATCCACGCCCAGAAGGGGAAGAGGCAGTCGAAGATATCCAAGTGATGTTGTCATCAGATGCAAACCCAAGCCCAATACGTCACTTAAAGGTAAGTACACCTTTGGCAGCTCCAGCGGTTCATACAATCATACAAGCATGGACTCAATCTGATGCCAATTGAGAAAATCAGGCCGAAAATTTTTCATTTAACCAAATTTATTTTATTTAGAGTTTCAAATTGTCTAAAAAGTATGTTTTTTATCATCCTGAACCATAAAATTTCTTGCCCTTGATCCATACAAGTGATTTTATTCTGGACCCATACCAGAGGACCTGGGTAGCCCTTTGGTCTGGACCCCTCTCAATCTGTTAAATTAAATGTAATACATAAATAAATAATTGTTAATCACTGTTAACGAAGTTGAAAATATTAAGGGAGTTTTAAATGGTAAAAATAAAATTTATGAGGAACATGTTGGTGTTGAACTCAAAAAATTTTAAACCATATTAATTAAGCTCTCTCTACATTATCAAACTATTTTATACCCATATGTAGTCAAAATCGTATGTTTTTGTCAAATAAAATTTAATAGTGTGGAATGGGCTTAATAATAGCAACATATAAAAGATTTTTTGATAACATGACCTCTTTTATTTGATTGTGACCTCTTTTGTTAAAACAGTCTGATGAAGTGTCAAAGTTGGTGAAGATCCCAGGCATCATCATCGCTGCATCAGCTATACGAGCCAAGGCAACCAAGATCACAATCCAGTGTCGTAGCTGTAGAAACTACATGCCGAACCTTCCCGTCAAGCCAGGCTTAGAAGGCTACACCTTACCAAGACGCTGCAACACGTCAGTCAAAATACAGTTTATTACATAGTCTGAGGAATAGTGATTGGGAGAGGCTAAACTGACGGTGGTGGCAAGGCTAATTAAAGAATAAAGAATATTTTGTCTTTATTACACAACAGGGAAGGATTTAGGGGGGACTTTGAGCCAGCTTCAGCTCCCCCACCTTTTGGAAAGTCAGAAAAAATAAAGAAAAAAGATAGAAATTATTGATCACCCAAAACGCCTCGGAGGTCATTTCCAGGCGACTAGAAAACTAAGATTTTGCAGACCCTAGGGTAGTGTTGTCTCTCAATCGGCTCAACTTTTCGAACATTCCTGGAAAATATAAACTATTTGACAGAGGCTGTATGTAGTTAATTTATATCAGTTGATTGATTTTATTGTTATGTTACTAAGTTAAGTACAGGGTAGTGTACTATAAATTTACATACCACCTATAGAAGCCTCTTTAGTGGTCAAATTAGAAATGTAATTTGTATTATAGTACTGCCCATATATTTATCTTGATGCATGCAGTGTATTTTCATGCATTTAGGAAATCAAGTTACATTTATATATAACATGATTATAGTAATATTATTTTTATTTTTGCGACAGTGACCAGGCTGGACAGCCAGGTTGTCCAGTTGATCCTTTCTTTATCGTTCCTGACAAGTGCAACTGTGTGGACTTCCAGATCCTGAAACTTCAGGAATCACCGGAAGATGTTCCTAACGGAGAGCTTCCTCGTCACATGCAGGTTTATTGTGACAGGTAAATATAACTTTGAGCTCTTCAGTTGATAATATAAATATGTGTGTGTCCATTGTCAGTGAGTCGAATGGCCGAGAGGTTAAGGCAGGTGCGCTAAAAATCCTATAGCCATAATATTGCAGCTGGTTCAAGTCGTATGTTGGCCTACGGTTCCGGTGGTGGAACAAGTCTTCTTGGATAAAAAATAATGAACTGTAGGCCTAGGAGTTACCCCGGTGCACTGGTTTACCGGGTAGCTCAGACAAAAAGAGAAAGTTACTGTCCATGCTTCCAATTTTTTTGAGACTCTGGTGTAAAGTTATATAAATCTAACTACAGTACATTGTTTGAGTACAATGTCTATGTATTCAACCTGGTTTTGTTTTTTTTTAAATTTGGTTTAATATTTTCTGGATTTTTTCAGGTATCTGTGCGAGAAAGTTGTTCCAGGAAATCGAGTGACAATTCTAGGAATTTACTCCATCAAGAAGTCTAACCCTGTGTCAAAGGTAGTTTTTCTTATATATAGTCATGATGTGCCTATATGGTTATGATGTGATGTCATCATGACCATATTTAGACAAAAATGGTTAGTCTGGATAGATCTTTATATTCAGATCTTGACATTACATATTACGGTACATTTTACTCTTTGTAATTATAGAGAGGCAGTCGGAACAAGGTTTCCGTTGGAATACGGAGCCCCTATATTCGTGTTGTTGGCGTGAAAGTAGACACGGATGGTGCAGGAAGGAGCTCCAGTGTTGCCATTACACCTCAGGAAGAGGAAGAATTCCGCCGGCTTGCATCAAATCCAGAGGTGTACGACGTAATTGCAAAGAGTATAGCACCCTCAATTTATGGAAGCGTTGGTATGTGGTTATTTGTTGTACATGTTCACCATGTGTATTTCTTTATCTTTTTTTTTCTATGATGCAATCAACCTTGGGTACATAATCTATGCTTATTGATTCATATAAGGTCTATTTTTAAATAATTAACAAAATTAATTTAAATACATAAATGCCTCGTAAATATAAATGGATTTTTTATAATTGATCTGTGCTGTGCTCTTTACCAACTACTCCCAACAACTAAAAATAAAAATCAAATCAAATGTGAGTTTTAAATCTGACCTTAAAATTATTCACTTAGTTTATGTATGTATAGTATGATGTAGCTTGTACACGTTTGTATTAATGATACCGATTTTGATATTTACCAGATGTGAAGAGGGCTATAGCATGTCTGCTGTTCGGTGGATCCCGTAAACGCATGCCCGATGGGCTCACCAGACGTGGTGATGTCAACCTGCTGTTGCTTGGGGACCCTGGAACTGCCAAGAGTCAACTGCTTAAGTTTGTGGAGAAAGTGTCACCTATTGGGGTGAGTGTTTACCTTACACAGTTATCTACCAAATACAAGAAATAATTAACAGTAATGTAATTTGGTATTGGTATCTGTAGCATCAGTTTTTCCATTTGATTTACTTTCATTTATGTAATGTAATTTGGTATTGGTATCTGTAGCATCAGTTTTTCCATTTGATTTACTTTCATTTATGTAATATTTGTGTATTTGTTACTTTTTATTTAGATTTACACTTCTGGAAAAGGAAGTAGCGCTGCCGGTTTGACGGCATCCGTCATTAGAGATCCAAATACGGTGAGTTGCATACTCATACTTGTATCTGTCCATATTGTTTCTAATAAATTTTTGAAGCAAATTTTTATACCTAATTTAAATTGTGTCCAAATTCGGTATTGGATCTTTTCTAAAGAATACAAAGCACACAGAAAATAAATAATTGGGAGATGAAAAAAGGTAAATTATAATGAACGTATCAAATAGAACAGAGGACTACAAAAATGAACTTAGTATAATAATTTATTTGGCCATCAACTGAACAATTAAAATGATGCTTCAATTGTGGCATTTTTAATTACTTATTTTAACACAGCGAAACTTTGTAATGGAAGGCGGTGCAATGGTATTGGCTGACGGTGGTGTCGTCTGCATTGATGAATTCGACAAAATGCGTCAAGATGATCGCGTAGCAATACACGAAGCTATGGAACAGCAGACTATCTCAATAGCAAAGGCCGGCATAACGACAACACTGAACTCTAGAACATCAGTCTTGGCTGCTGCAAATTCAGTGTTTGGTCGTTGGGATGACACAAAAGGAGATGAGGTAAGTAACTCTATTTTGATAATTTTAATATTGTACTATTTCTAATCATGTGGCTTTTAAATGCTTGCATTTCCTTTGTACACACTCAAATTTTCTTTGACACGAAACTTTTGTGTGTCCATATTATAGTCATGATGTGCAGATAAAATTTGACATTTGAAACACCATAGTTTTGTATTGTGCAATTTCAGACTTTCTTAGTATAATAAGCAGCATTGTCTCTATTTCCCCTCCCTAATTTTGATACCATGTATTCAATGTAGGACACATTATGCTCTATACATTTAGGCAATTTTGTATTTTACATGTAGAATTTGTCAATAAAAAAAATTTTATTAATCTGAAGTAGTAAAATATAGGTACTTTTACTCCTGGGTTTGTTTAGAAGGGAAAGCATGGATGAAGTGACTGTTTGAAGATAAGAGATGGCTATTCCAACGATTTCTCTAACTTAGTGAATGTAATAATATTTATAATGTAATGAATAAATTCTTTTTTTAGAACATTGATTTCATGCCGACCATCCTGTCTCGATTTGATATGATCTTTATCATTAAGGATGAGCACGATCAACAGAGGGACACAGTAAGTTGAAACACTTAAACCAAAATTTTCATCCAACAGCCAACATGGTGCAAGTGATGTTGCAGAGGCCTTCGTATTGGAGTTATTTTAAGCAGGGCTTTGCAGACTGATAGTTTACACAGTACTTATGTTAGCCAGCCTTATCTGATTAAAAAGATCATCTTAAATTTGGAAAATGCTCTACTTCATCAAAGTCTGATTAAACATTGTCCCGACTATCAAATTTTCATTGACAAAAAACAGATGTATGCCTATATATAGTCATGGTGTGATGTCATCATGACCATTTTTAGGCAAATCACATGTTTTTTTCAAACAAAATTTGATACTCTGGACAGGGTTAGAAAAAAATCTGACAAACATGAAATATTTTAGGACACATCTGAAGTTTAAGGAATTTGAATCCAAGACCCTGGGACTTAAAGCAAGGTAGCACTCGATCTTATACATTATTATAAAATCTTGTGTGACTTATGCATTCAGAAATCTAATTGTTTATGAATGTTAGTCATCCAGCTACAAGTGTCTGTAACTCTTGCGATTGGTTACAATAATAATATTATAACATATTGTTTGATTCTGATTATAGCGTCTTGCAAAGCATGTGATGAATTTACATATGAACGCCCTGCAGATGAGCGAACAAGATCAAGGAGCAGAACTCAGTTTAAATTTCCTCAAGAAGTTCATTCAATATGCACGAACGTAAGTAAACACAATGAGAACAATAATATACTGTAAAACGCTTACTTAGCATGTGAATTTCTGCATTACCAAATGTATGAGTCACTTGTTGACGTTCACAACGATGTTGGTAAACAGCGACAGCTTAAATGTTTTACGTTAAGATTTTTTACTTCAACTTACGGACTTATTCTTATTCTTTATTGCACAATAGAATAATCTGGATGGGAGGGCCTGGTCTCTAAAGTAAACTTAATTACTATAACAATTGTTTGAGAACCACTCCCATCCAGTATAAAAAAAAACCAAAAAAAAACATCATTAAAATGTAAGATAAAATATAATAGACAACAC